GCTGTCCCGAGGCCCGCGGGCTGTCCCGAGGCCCGCGGGCTGTCCCGAGGCCCGCGGGCTGTCCCGAGGCCCGCGGGCTGTCCCGAGGCCCGCGGCCCCGCACGTACCTGGCGCTGCCGCCGGCGGAGCGCGGCGCGCGCGGCGCCGTCACCGGGAGCGCGCGGCCGCTCCGGGCCCAGCGCCCGCCCCCCGCCGGCTCCGCTTCCGGGACCGGCGCGTGCTGACGTCAGCGCCCGGCGCGCGGCGGGGAAGGCGTAAGCGGAGCGCGAGGGGCGGCGACTGCGCGCTGCCGGCCGCGCCGCCCTCAGAGCGGGCGCTGCTCGGAGACCGCGCTGTGGGCGGCTCCGTCGGAATAAACTCGGAGGGGGCAACGTTGGCAGGGACCGGGCAGGTGCTGGCATCTAGGTAGCGGGCTGTTTGTTGCTTGAGTGCTGGTAGATCTCCCCGGGAAGGTCGTGTTTCCACTTTGTTATAAATGAAAATTTGTCCAGCCAAATTTAGATGAAAAAATATTTATTTTGCAATCAAATTCTATCTAGCCAGCCACAAGGAAAGAACAGTGCCGAGCCCGGGGTCGGCGCTGGGTGTGTAACAAGGAGTCAGCCTCAGGAGAGGTTTTCCCCTATGCCCACACACCTCCATCCTGGCACGAGCGGTTTTTATAGGAAACATTCCGCCTGAGGCCAAGATTTCGGCAGTCAGTCTTTTCTTCCATTCAGAGTCCATAGGGTAATGAGATTTTCTCTTTTTTGGTGTTGCGGAAGAACAATTCAGTGTCCGGAGTTGGTGAATCCCTTGATGAAGTTTACTGGAACGCTGCATTCACATGTATCTGCCCGAGGATTTCCATGATATCCATCTCGGATCGTTCATGCGACGATCAGCGCCTGGGCATCCCGTATCTCTCCAGACATGGCCCATCCCCATCTCCTGGCCGCGCCACATCCTTTTACTCGTAAATCGGGTTTCAACATACACCAGGTTTCGCCTGCGAGGATGGGGGGGGACTCCTAATACAAACGTGTATACTCCAACAAATATTCAATATCACATATATCATACTAGAAGTGGTGTGAATTATGTCTACTACACATAACAACACCCAGGTTTCCATTTTGATAATTAGGAGTAACAATAAGACGGGACAGGTTTTCATTTTAGATGTTTCAGGCATCTTCAGAAATACCTGAAGACTGTATTGCATTGGCCTACAGTAAAACACTGATCACCACAAGCAGTCACAATTGTTTTGTACTTGCATAGTGAGAAGCATCTGGGTTTGATTTCAAGGATACAGTGTCTTCCTCCCTGAAAAGCTCTCCAGAGTTGGTCAGATGACTGCTGACAACCTGCATCATGCAAATGCTCTCATGGTTCTGCCTGCACAGGATGGTTGTGAGGTGTTCCAGTTCCAAGGACATCTGAAAACTGCCACATACTTCATGTGCAACTGAAATATTTCATCCCCTCTTATATCCCAGTCATGACTGATGGCAAAATTCCGCAAACTAGAGCCATGGACAGGTAGAAGAAACATGGACATGTGGAAGAAACATTTTTCATCAATGTTACTCCCAGCTGCTCTCTCTGTAATGACCCAAAGCAGTGACCTTGTATTTTTGATCTCAGTGCAATAGTTTGGGTAGAAAGAAGCATTTAAAGGCCATCTAGTCCAAGCCCCTCTGCAATAATCAGGGACATCTTCAAACAGATGAGGTTGCTCAGATCCCTGTACAGCCTGGCCTTGAATGTTTCCAAGGATGGGACATCTATAACCTCTCTGGGCAACATATTTTCCTGTTTTCTGCAATACCTAAGGAAGGAGCAAGTGAAATACTTTTCTTCTTTGGTGCAGAAGATACTGTAATCTCTCGGAGAACTAATTTGTTTACATTTTGGAAATTATGTTAGA